CAGCTTGGTACTGTTTTTTGGCTGTCCCATGCTATGTGCCACTGCAAAGTTGGGGGATTTCGACTAAAATGACCATCTACAAACAAAACTGAGAGAAGAAAAAGAAACTAATTCTGGAAATCTGCTCCCGCGAAGAGTACTCACGAAGCAGATGAAATCTGTTATAATGAATTGCTAAGTCAACACAGAAATAATTTTGCACATAGAAGGAAAACTTCTGCAGAAGAGTGGAATATATTCTGAATAGTACTGCTCAGAGAAGGAGACAAGCACAGTTTTGCTGTGGTCTTCTCTAGTAACTTAAAGCTTTTTTGGTACTATTGACTTGTTTCTTGCAGCCCAATGCGGTATCAAGTGTGGAAGGACACACTTTTTTGGATGAGGAAAGGCTAAGTAACATTATCAATATATTTCTGCAAAACATGCAGCAACTTCAACCCATTTGAAGCTGTCTTCCGAGAGATGCACTATAAAAGAAGAAACTGAGTATACAGTTTTTCTTGCTGATTTGGGTTTAATTTTGTTTTTATTGCTCCTGAGAAAATGCCTTTATTGTAAACTAAGGTTCCTCTGATTATCTTATTTTAATAAAATAAATTAAATGTAGGGTCAAGCTTCAGTGTCATTCTTAAGTGCAGCATCTTATTCTAAGATGTCTATCTAGATGGATGGAATTCTGCAGTTGTGCCAATTTAGATGTGTCTTAATTTATCTCTAGAAATTCTAAAATATCACAGATCTCCCCCCCCCCCAAAAAAACCCTACGTTGACCACAATGGTGGCATAAATTTTCAAAAACTTTGTATTTCTTTAATATGTATGTGAATGATTTATAACTAAAGGCTAGTGTTTTGAACAAGTTCCCACACATTTAATATGTTGACTGTTTCTCTTTCTATTTGCATAAAATCCCTAAGCAAATAGAACAGAATTTACATCCAAAATACATTCCTAAAAGGGCAATAAATCTATATATATTTATTGCTGTCTTTCAAGGAATGTGAACTGTTGTTACTACTCTGCATTTATCTGCCACTGGTCTGTTTTCCTTTGCTAGTAACACTAGTGCATCATGTGACCAGCCAGCTGCAAACTACAATTTATGAACAATTAGGGAGCCTAATTTCAGAATGTGAGCCAGTCTCTAAATCTTTCCTTTTCAATAGTAATATTTCGTGTTTTTAATTAGGAAAGAATGGGAACTAGTTAAAGGGACCACATACACGATTTAGGCCATGACTGTTGTAGAATAAATTATGCTCCTGGGTTTTTTTTTCTTACCTTAATTTCCAGTTGCTCTGCAGTATACTGTTATGCACTTCCATGCATGCTACAATTGCATAAATCAGAAACTACCAACTACTTACCTCGGATCGATTTGCAAAGATATGACCAGCTTGGGAATGAAGGTTGTTGGTAATTCTGAAATGTTTGTAACGCTGAACAAAATATTATGGTTATTCTTTCAAATGTTTATAACTGACCATTGACTTAATACAACTTTAAAACTTTACTGTGCAGAAGAAAAATACTACTTGCCCTTTAATAGTTTACTTTTAACACTTTTCTTTCCTTCTGCTTGATTGTATATTTCTGGTTCCAAATGAAGTGTGCAGTTGACTGATCGGTTCTTAACTCTGGTGTTTGTAATGCTAAAGTTCTGCTGTATAGACTAGAAATCTTCACCTGATACATTTAGTCAAAATTGGAATATAATTTGCTTAAACCTCTGTACTTAGTCTTTCATGGTGGCAAACAGTGTGAAAACCTATTACCCTCAGCTTCTTATATCCATCTGCTGATTTACTCCAGAGTCTTTACAAAAGGGGAATTACTGAAACACAAAGCAAAGGAGCCTGTTAAATTCAGTTTTGTTTTTGTTTGGTTGGTTTTTTAAAATTTTTACTTCCTGCAGATCAGCAAGCGTCTTGTTCCCAGAATAAATGTTCCCACACAAGAGTCAGAGCTTAAAGTTTAAGACAGAAATACTTTTACATAACCCTTACAAAATTTTAGCATTACAAAGACTATAAACTAGCATTTAAATGAAATTACCTTTAACATTCGTGTTTGGTTAGATTCTGCTTGATCATGCTAACAACATCCAAGTGACATTCGAATCCACAACACAGTAACAAAGTATGAACTTTGACTAGAACTTCGTTCTGTTCTACAGCTACCATTCCTTAAATATGACATTTTACAAGAAAAAATTCTAAAAGGATTACAATATATTCTAGCTCTGGGTTTCAAAAAGGAATTTAGTAATCTATTCAGTGGCTTAGATCTTAACTGGCTGTAATTAACATTTTACTCCAGGAGAGAGAGTCTAGCACACCAAGCCATGGTTCCAGCTAGCCCCTTCAAAATGTATGCTGAAATGTTCTTAAGGAGATTTGGGTGCTTTTTAAAATTTTAATAGAAACTGGGCATCAAATTTCCTTGGATGACATTGAAAATTTACCCCTAGTTTTTTTTCTTCTACTACTATAGCATATGGCAATCCTGCCTCCTTGCTGACAAAGGTAAATAAGGAATTGTCTTGCTTAAAAGATTTCAAAATTAAAGCCAAAAAAACCCAAACAGGACAGTGCAGCAGTTTGGTTAGCTGTGAGGTTTTAATGGGAAGAGCTACTCTTCAATATAGAAATAATGCAGGTAGCTTTTCCAAAACTAATGACATGCAGCAAAATGCTGAAAACAAGTCGCAGAAAGGGGCTAGTGTCACAGATGCTGGTACAGAAAAAGTGAACGTTTGAAGGACTCAGGTGCCTGGCATGGATTCTTAATTACATTGTTAATCTTTTCACGCAAGCCTGACCATCTTGCTGAATGTAGTTCATTTCTGCTGGCATACATTGTTTTGTCATTGCCTTCATTTTCCCTCCCCTGGTTTGTTACACCTCTGTCATATAATTAGTCACTTCTGAAGCTACTGTTGTAGTTGTAAAGAGACCTGATTGTAGTGGGGGCCTCTACCATTAAAATAAGTAGAAAGTTGTGTGTGTCAGAGTTGGAAGACCCTGGCCCAGGAAAAGGTTCATAATTTTGACCCTACTGTCCATAGTTAAATTGCAATCTTCGTTAGATTATGTTTAGTGCATCCCAGATGACAAATGAGGGACAGCCATGCCTCTGAGTACCAGATGGTTGGAACTTACACATTTTGTATAAAAATGGCACTTGATTGAGGCTATGTAAATTTTCAGGCTTGTATGCAATTCCAATATCCATAATTGGATGTGATGGGCAAAAGTGACCTTTTTCTTCAAGCCATTAACTCTATTTCTACCTGTTCCCTTTGCTCCTTCTTTGCACATCAATCTCAATTTGAAAATCTATTAATACTGAAGATGTTGGCTACAGCAATAGTTCTCAACTAAGGCTATGCATACCTGGGTGGTACACAGGTAGGATGGCCACTTGTCCCATTTTGGCTGGGACAGTTCTCTTTCTCAGCTATCCCCACTTTATCAAAACCAGGCATTTGTCCCAGAGAAATTTGCTAATGATGGGCAGTACTGGCCTTAGAACTGACTCCCTGGGCACAGCAGGTCAACCCCAGCCTTGCTGAGGGTTGCACCAAGCTCAGTAAAATGGGGGGAAGGAGGTTCAGGTGAGGCCTCAAGCTTTTCCCTTTTTCTCCCCACACAGAAGTCTTCCAGAGGATACATCAACTTTTATAGATATTGGTCAAAGTTCTACACTAGGCTATGTAGGATGAGCTAATGAAGTAAGTGCAAACTAAAAATGCAACCAGTGATTTATTTATGCTGCTTGATATACTAGACAATCAAATATAAGTGCACTATTTATATTCCAATTGATTTATTTCATAATTGTATGGTAATTAAGGTATTTTTCAGTAATAGTATGTTATGACACTGTACTTGTGATTTTTTTTTTTAAAGTCAGTCATTTGTGAGGGGAAACTTGGGGACAAGACAAATCAGACTCCTGAAAGGGGTACAGTAGTTTGGGAAGATTGAGAGCTTGGGCTGTAGTGCTAGCATTTCACTGTTTATGTCCATTTCAGTCAAATCATTCAGCCAGACCTGTTTAAGTTCACCTAATCAGTTTTTAAATTAGTACCTCCGTTATCTGTAGCAACAAGCCAGCACAACCTACAAAGTCAATGAAAATTAGTTGCACCATCCACTATTGGAAAGTAATTACCTTTCTGCATCAGTTGCAGCAGAATCACTGACAATCACAGAAGCACTGACAGACTCTTTATATGGCTTCTCCATTTAACATGGTGCAGAGGTCAAAGAAAGAAACAGGCTCCAGCCATCTTGCAGGGCTTCACAAACCAGCAAGAGCCTACTCTATAGAGCACATAACTAGTGAGCTCAATTAAAATCTATCCATGAAAATAGCCAGCAGCTGACTTTAGAGCCTCAGGTTACAAACCCCTAGGGAAAGGAGGTTGTTCCTAATCCTGAGCAAAACATTATGGTGGTTCTGTCAAAAGCTTACAGGTAAATATTGATTTACTACAACTTTGAAATTTTACTATGCAGAAGATCAGTGCTGCTTTTAACCATCTTAAATGAAACAAGCACAGAAAGTTTCCTTAGCTTTTAAATCGTTTAAACTGAAGTGCTGGACTACAGGGTTTTTTCCTCTGCTACTTCCAGCTCTAAATGAGATGTGTGGCTAACTTCAGTTTCTAACTGAGGTTCTGCTATATGAGCAAGACTATGGTTTGAACCCTGGGAATAGCTCAGATAATAAAAGCAGGCCTGCGAGTAAAGGCTTCTATGCCAACCCTGTTGAGGTTAGTCATACTACCAGTGACTGATCTTTGACTTCTAGTTTCCTGGAGACTGTCCTTGATTGTTCCTTTGTATAGGGTGGAGGGGGAAGCAGTCTATTAAAGGACAAACATTTTAATCTTAAATATTTTGAAAGTATGGGGGAAAACCATTGGACAAAATGGCTATACAGAAGAATTTTAAATTGAGACAATTCTGACAAAGGGATGCATACAAATTATATTCAGAATAAATTACATTTAATTTTAAGAGAAACTGTTAGGTTCTGTAATTGAAATCCAGTACATACAGTTCAATTGCCAATTATCATAATTCTAGGGTCTTGGGCAACATATTGGATTACAGACCAGTACAATGTGACTAGGCAGTGTGGATCATTCTTGCATGCATCTTCAGCAGTATCAGTTTTGAAACACTCCTTTTGCTCTCTACACTAGTTGCAGTGCAGCCATGTCAAGGCAAAGATTACCCCCTGATTCTCTTTACCCTGTTCATATTTCCCACTGCAAAGTCCTGGGGGAATTTTGCAATTTTCTATGGCTCTTCATGTTCATTTTTCAATTAGTACAGTTCACACTAATTAAAACATCAAAATGCAGAAGTTATAGGTATGGCTAATTGTTTAGTATTAGAAATCCTGCATCTTGCACTACAATGCTGTCAGCTCAACTTGTTTGATCATTGCTGTGCTTTTTGCAATAGGTACTGTATGAGGGGTATACAGAAATAATGCCCAAGAAATGGTGTTGGGAACAAGGCTGATTAAAGTGATGTCTCTTGGACTATCAAACCAGCCTCTCAATTTTTTTTAGGACTAGGGAGTTTGTAAGTGTTATGGGCAAGTTAGTTGACATAATTCAGTAAGGTAAGTATGGAAAGTTAGTCAAACAGATACAAGTTAAAGAGACAAGGTGGGTGAGAGTTTACTGGCCCAACTTCTGTTTCAGGAAAGACTTATTACCTCTCCCACCTGCTCTCTCTAGTATCCTGGGCTTAAACACTGCAATTAAAGCTTTGGCAATTGGCCTCTGCTGTGTAAGATGTATGCACAAAATCACCCCTAAAGCTTTCTTTCCCCACACACTTGTTAGTGTTTTTATTTAAGATGCTTCTATTATTCCTATACAGATATTAAATTTCTACCAGGATCTCACCAGTAAGCCACAGGGCACATTACTTTTGACTGCTTGCTGTAAATTAAAACCTTCCCTAAATAAATAGTTGGACTGGTACAGAAGAAAACAAAACTTTTGTTCCTTAGTTCCCTTTATTGAGGAGTGGCAGACTCTTGATCTGCTCCTGAGAGGTGCATGAAAAGCTCTCCAAGCTCTGTCACTTCATCTTCAGTAGTGGGCATAGTCCTACTCTCTCTGTCTTCAATAAAATCCCAGAGCCGAACAGAATTGAAGAACTGTGAAAACAGAATAATATGTAAGCTCAAACTGACATCTTATTCCTGGCTGTATAAGTTGGACCTTCCTGTTCCAGCACCCTGACGAACATGTATGGTCCTGGATGAGGGATTTTGCTGGCCCCTCTGCTGCCGCCTTGGTTTTACCTCTATCCTTGTTTTTATTTACTTCCCCCTTTTTTTCCTGAAGTTGATAAATCTTGAATGGGAAAATACATGCTCAAATTAAAAAGGGATAAGGAGTGTTTCTTACTGTTCCTACTAACTGGCATATTTTGTTTTACTCAAGTAAAAAGCAGGCTGGAAGCAAGAAAAACATTGAACAGTCAACTTCTGCATTAGAAATCATTGTCAGTAACAAACTTATTAGCTAATGTTTTAGAGACTAGCTCCATCTTAACTTTAGGAATCACCCGAGAGGGCTATCTGCATGTGCATGCACATAGCCACCTAATAAGCAAAGCAAATCTGAAAGATACAAGCTAGTAGACATTAAGCCTGAACTGTCCCCTCAGAACATTTTCTACAATTCCCTTTGGACTTCCAACTCTGAGAACAGCTCAAGTGCAGATTCCTGGCCCACTGAACTCTTACATGCAGCAGGCGTTAACCGAATACTTTTGCAGCACAAATCCAACAATGCGCTACTCCCCCAGACAGGAGAGGTATGCAATAGCTAGAGGATCAGGAATTTGTTAAAGATGAAGTTTTGACTAATGTGAGGGAAGAGACATTTTCCCCACTGACTGTAGAGCTCTTGAAAAGTAAGTGTAAGAGGAAGTTTCCTTTCATTTTGATTTTCATGCAAATTCACAATTGATGCCAAGATGGGCGCCCAAAAGGTGGCTTTTAAAGAGCAAAATGCTTTTCTTAAATTTGCCTCAGCCTAGACAGAAAGGAAGGATGGGGAACACTTCGGGTTGGGAGCTGCTGACCCACACAAAAAGAGTCGGGGGGGCTGCACAAAGGCAGCAAGAAAACCCCTTACCTGACATGGCTGGAGTCGGGAGGCTGCACAAAGGCAGCAAGAAAACCCCTTACCTGACATGGCTGCTGACAGAAGCAGAAAGACTCTTCCCGTTGCCCTTGCATACAAGAGCCTAGAGGGACCTGGCTAGTAGACTGAGGGCTGCCTTAAGCTCTGTGGTGGGGCCAACCAGGAGGAGTTCTGCATGTCTGGGCAGGATGGACGTTTACAGATGTTAACTGTGTAATTCATTAATTATGGCCAACAAAATGTGTTGACTATCAACACAGGTTAGCACTAAGAATTCAGCCCTCGCTTGCATTGGGGCCTGTGAACTATCCCCAGTGCAGCTCTGCAAGAACTCTTGGTGCAGAACCACAGGACCCAGCATAAGCTGGGACTGAGCCAGGCTGCTGGCCAGCCTGCTAAAAAGTTTACTGGCAGAACCTGGGGGGCTGAGAGGGATGCATGAAGCAATAGCATTAACTGATAATCCACTTACCAGTTAATCATTTAACCAGTTACACTATTATATCCCTAGGGAGGATGCAAGAGTGGGTTGGGGATTGGTGGGTCTGGGAAGGTGGTAGGGCTGGGCAGGGAGGGGAAGGAGGAGGGGAGGTCTGGGTGGTGGATGGGCACTTACCTGAACAGCTCCACAGCTCCCAGTGCCTCCTTACAGCAGGGGTGGGGAACCTGTGGCCCAGGAGCCAGATCAGCCCCCAGGCTTGCCTGCAACTGCCCCCGTGAGGTTAGCAAGCCATCTGCAGTTGGGGGGAGGGAGGAAGGGAGAAGAGAGGCCTACTGCTCCTATTGGCCATAATGTTGGCCAATTAGAAAGCCTACAAACAATGCTTTGCTACACTGCTGTTTCCTTAGCCAGGGGAGGGGAGAGGAGAGCAGCAGCAAACAGAGCTGCGGGTCGGATTTTGCTCCAGCTTTCCTAACACTGGCTGGCTCTCACAAGGGTGGCGAGCCAGTGGTGGCTCCCTAGCCCCACAGGGGGCAGTTGTGTGGGGGGCCGCAGGGCCAATTAGAAAGCCTACAAACAATGCTTTGCTACACTGCTGTTTCCTTAGCCAGGGGAGGGGAGAGGAGAGCAGCAGCAAACAGAGCTGCGGGTCGGATTTTGCTCCAGCTTTCCTAACACTGGCTGGCTCTCACAAGGGTGGCGAGCCAGTGGTGGCTCCCTAGCCCCACAGGGGGCAGTTGTGTGGGGGGCCGCAGGGCTCATCCAGACAAGCCTGGGGCCAATCTGGCCCCTGGGCTGTAGGTTCCCCACCCCAGCTGTAAAAGGGCAATGGATGTTCAAGTGAGACTTTCAAGCAGGACTTCAAGCAAATCAATGACTAAATATCTGCTCACCCGCACAGTCCCCTCTGAGCTCAGTTGTTTTCGTGGTTTCTCAGGTTTGGCTCGTGTCCCGTCTGGGTAAGCATGAAGGTAAAGGCATTTTCCTCCAAAAGGGCAGGTTCCCTTTCCTTGTTCAAAGTATTTGCATGCCTTTTTCCTGAAAGAGAAGAACTACTTTCTTTAAATGATGGTAAAAAACATCCAGGGGACAAAAACTTCTCCAGAACATCTACTCCAGGTTAGTTCCCAACACCCCATCTCAGAAAGGCCCTGCATTAGAGAACTCATTCCCCAATCAAGCAGGAATAGCTCAATGGTTCCTGAACCAAACACCGTAATTTAGTGAATAAACCCCACGTTTTTTCCCTTTTGAGTTTAGGAATCCCTGGATACCCCACGCACCACTATAGCCCACAGGAGAGAGACAGTGAATAATGGTACTACAAAGCCCCTTTAATCACCTGTCAATGAACCGCAGCTGAGGGTAATGCCAAGCTCCTGTAATCAGCTGATAAGGCCAAGCAGTCAGGGCTATATAACCCCTTTGAACAACACCATTTAGTCAGTCGCTGATTTTAACTTGTAGCATTTTAAACTTTTACCCTTTTTAAGCTTTTCAAACTTTAAAGCTTTTAGATCAGAGTGAATGAGAATGCAAAGCCTTTTTTTTTTAAACTGTTTTTCTTTTATTAGTTGCACAACAAAGTAATGTTTTAAATGTGTTGCCCCGCGCCCGCAACTTGCTCCGGACGCCTTCCCTTTGTCAGTCCAGGCTGGGAGCCTCCCCTCTGCTGGGGATGCCTCTGCCCTGACTCCAGAGCATTCCTGACTGCAAGTTTCCCCACATTGTTTGGTACCCAGCCGGGCAAAGGTAGTGAAGGTGGGGGGTGGGGTGGGGTGAAGGATCCTCTGCCATTTCTGTAAAAAAAAAAATCCCTATATAACCCGCTCACGACTATAACCCGCGGGGGGGGAAGGGGTTTGTAAAATATAACCCATGGGGTATATTCGCTAAATTATGGTAGTTACTGCAGTGTCAGGAAGGATTTTTTTTTTAAAGCAATGACATCTGCTCTTCCCTGCAGCGGGTACAGCTCCTCCTCATTGACCCCAGACCCAGCTGGCCCTATATTTAAACACTCTAAACATAAGCAACAAAAGTTATCTAGATGGTGAAACCAAGTCATGATGCTGCACTGATCAAAGCACCAACTGAAGCAGAAAGCTCAGTGGAACTAGAAGAGTCAAGTTTGCTCCTTCAAAGTTACAATTAAAACCTTAGTAATTATTGCATTCAGTGAGTAACTACCCTTGGAGGCAAAAGGAACCCGAAGCACTATTTAACCTTCAGTATAAAATGAAAAGATTTGCCCAATGACGATAATGGAGTGTTCTAATTTATACACATTGTGAGATGAGGCAGCACCCAGTTTATGAACGGAATGAATCCAACCAGAGACGCTGAGAGAGAAAATGTGTACTTCAACATTGCAGCCATAATAATCCTTCATCTATGTTTGTTACTCATCTCAGATCCTCCTAGCTAGGTGGGAACTATGTACCTGTTTTGCTATATAAAGGGAAGAGTTGCATTTCCTGGTAACACACAGACCAAGACAAAACTGCCGGATCAGTTAACCTAATAATGTACTTTCACCAAATTAGAAGAATAGCTGAAGAGCTACATTTCCTCCTATGCACTCCAAGTCTAATGATTTTAACTGAAGTATAGGATCTATATGTCAGCAAGAGGAACAAATTTCCCCACAGACCTACATTAAATAATAACGTACAAAAGCAAGTGCAAATTTTACCTTTCAATTAGTTGCTGGATAGAGAAGAAATGAATGTCTGAAAGCTTGTTTTTTCAAACACCAATGGCTATACACGAGAGGCCACCCAGATTTTTGCCACATTCCTCCTCCCCTACTTAAACACAAAAATGTTTCTGGGAAACATCACCCTTTCCATTTCCACACACAAAAACCACTAATGCTCCCTACAGTCAGACACAGATCAAGCCACAAAGTACTGAGCTGGTTGTTAGCAAGCTGCAGCTACAAGGTCCACCTCCTGTAATATTAATAGCACCGACCCCAATGTGACTGATAAATGTGCACTCTACAGAAATAGAGAACCAGACACAAAGTAAACAACATGCTCTGTAGCAAACAGTGAAGGTCACAGAACTTTACAGCTGATATGCTGTTAGAGAAACATTTAACTGAACCCTAAAAGACTGACGAACCCTCGATTCGCTGTTAGCTTATAAACAAATGAGCTAGTATTACAGGTACACTCTATTTGTCTCACCTTCACTTGCCCTCATGTGGGTGGCCTCAAGAAGAAGGGCTTTTCTTCAAAGACTATTGCAGATTTCCAGTAAGACAATTAGTCTCCCAAATGTTGGAAAGAGAAAAGCCAAGAAAATAGCCTTAATGTGCTGCTAACTCTGGTTTGAATGGAGAACCCCACCCCACCCAAGGGAATCACATTTTTCTACATCACAACCTTTCTCTTTTCTCTCAAGTTTTGCCGCAAAAATTTTTTTTGGGGGGGGAGTGGAGAGGCATGAGGATTTTTCAAGAATCGAAAAGGGTGATGCCAAAAGGTTTGGGAACCACCGATCTAAGGGCTTGTCTGCACTGGAAAGTTACGTTGAGGACGTGTCAACAAAACATGCATGAGCATTCAATCGTGACTTGTTGCAAAAGTCATTTTTGTCAACAAAAACCTTCCAGCTCCACCCTCCCTATGTTATCTCCACTGCATGTTTGTCGACACCCCAAGGCCTTTTGTCCTTGATTCTGGGCTCATGAAATGGCCCGTGATTCCCAATCAGCTGCTTTAGTCAGCAGTTTGAACTCTCCTGCCCTGCAGCCAGGTGACCAGCTACCCACCCCACCTCCTTGCAAGCCCAATGAAATTTAATTCCCTTTTCTTGCAGCCTAAGCACCTGCAAAACTCCTCCCCCATGGGCTGGCTCAGCACGCAGCCGTCTCATGACATCTTCCCAGGTGCCCAGGCCTGGTCATCACAAAAACACTCCCCTGCTTGGACTGCTGCAGAGCTGGTGGATCTGATCACTGTATGGGGAGAGCAGTTTGTTCAGTCCTAGCTGCGGGTGACCAATAGGAACTGGGACATGTCTGGGCACATTTCTCCATCTCTGTGTGAAAAAGGGTATGAGCAGGATACGTAGGGATGTTTAGTGATTGATCAGCTAATTGATAGTTAGTGGAATTTCCATCGATTAGCCTATAAGGGGGTTAACTCCCAGGGCGGAGCGAGCCAAGACCAAGTAGTCCCAGGTCACACCGGCTCTAGGACCGCTGTAGATCTCTTACTACATTTAAAAGGCAGAGCCGCAGCGGGGGACCTGGCCTGAACCAGGACTGCTCAGTCCCAGCTTGTGCTGCCTCCCCGACAGCATCTCTTCCCCCACTGAGATGGTGCTGGGGCGAACGGGCTTTTAATACAAATAGAGAGGCAGCAGGGGTTGGGAGGAGCGATTAGTTGAGTACTGACTTGATTACTCACTCACACCCCTAGCATAGAGTGAAGATGGTCACAGAGTGTGTCTGGCAGCTAGGAACTGTTCTTTGCTGCTGCCGTGTGTGCACTACAGGGAACGAGACACCTTAGAAAATAGAGAGGATTTTGTTTATGAAGAGCTACATCAGTCAGAGAGAAGGCAGACATTAGGACCAGTACTCAGAAAGAGCTGAGGAACCACAAGGACAACCCGGCCTTTGCCAGGCTGGCCACAGAACACATGCTCATGGCCATGGAGGGACACACTGACATCCTAAAGTACTTGAAGCAGCACAGTGAGCTAACAGGCTGCTCACCCACCTACCCACGGCCGATTCTAGATTCTGTGTTCGGAAATTCCCCCCACTACACACTCAGATTCTTTCCCCTTTATTGGGAGTCCAAGTTTTCCGTATGCATTCCACCACCTCTCCCAACTGCTATGACGATGTCCAGACCTACACATACCTGTGAGTTAACCCTTTGCCAGCATCTCTTACCAGCGTGAGCAGCCCCAATCCAAAAATGGTTCCTACTCCTGCCAATAAAGCTAATGCCTCCTGGGTAACTGGTTAACCATTTACACCACTACAACATACCTGCCTGGAAATACCCTCATTTTATAATATCTAATTCATCTGAATCTTTTTTGCCATAGAAAAACTAAACTCAAGAGAACAAGTGCCCAACTCTTAAACAGCAATTCTGTGGTACATATTTCCACGGTGGTGGAGGAAGGACTGTAAGCTTTCCTAAAGGTTGTGTGTCACACTTTTTTAAATTACCAATTTAACACAGTTTTTTTTTTTAATTGAATTATTCCAGAACAACTACTGCAAACAGTGTGTCTCCAGGAGATTAATGTACATCATCGTTCAGCTTTTAGCGTTCCAACATTGGACAAAAACTTACTAGTGCAACGTAAAGATCTATTTACACACCCTTTATAATGGGGATGAATGATAATGAAAAGTATTAGTGAGTAATGATACTTTACCCTCCCACCAAAAAGAGAAACTCACAGATGGCACAACAGCAACAAATCCTTCAACAACCCTGCAAAGTTTTACCTCATTTTACAGACAGGAAAATGGAAACAAAGAAATAAGATTATAAAAGTCAGCTCAGTGATTTGTTTTTTCCTCCCTTTACAATGCAAAAGTACAATACAGGCAGTCCCCGGGTTACATGGATCCGACTTACATCGGAGCCCTACTTACAAACAGGGTGAGGCAACCCCGCACTAGCTGCTTCCCCCCAGCAGACCAGGGAGACGCGAAGCTAGCGCCCCCCAGCAGACCAGGGAGACGCGGAGCGGCTTTTCTCAGCAGACACCTCAGCTTGAGAATAAAGGACTGAGGGAAGTGAGGTGTGGGAGAATAAAACTGAGCTCTGGAGAAATGTTTGGCTAGAGTTTCCCCTACAATATGTACCAGTTCCGACTTACATACAAATTCAACTTAAGAACAAACCTACAGTCCCTATCTTGTATGTAACCCGGGGACTGCCTGTACTCTGGTGTAACTGCCTGGGTTAATAAAATCAGCAGAAGTTATCTAAATGTAGTTTTGGGAAGTAAGCAAAAATACCCTTGACAACCAATTTTGAAAAGTAGAATTACTAACACTCCCCCCTGGAGAGAGGGGGATTTCTAATTTAAGCGTAAGGGATATTTTCAAAAGGTATTAGTCTAGCTAAAATGAAAATTAAATTCATGTTATTCAAGGGAAGACCAATGCTAGACATGAGTTCCTTCACTTTCACTGAAATCACAGGAGACATATATGGGGGAGGGGAGAGTTTGCGTGAGCGTGTGCGCGCACGTGTACTTTCCACAAGGTATGTTCTGTATGATATTAAAGAAAACATTTTAAAGAGGAAAGTATTGAATACCTTGGTCCACTACCTTTTCAGTTTATCTAAGAAAAAAATAAATGATAGCTAGCAAACTTACCCCATTCCCTGTTTAAATGCCTCTATCAGCTTATTTTTCTTGTTCTGGTCTTCAACCCAGTATACACTAGGTATTACAAACTCTGATGTCACTCGGCACTGAGGACAGGATCTTAAATGGGTAATAAAAAGAAATTAAATGTACATACAACTTGCTGAGAATAGATATTTCTCAACAACTAGCCATGAACAGCATATGCAGAAAGGGGACTAGGATCTTTCATACTGAAGCATCAAAGTGTATCATAGCTGATTACCCTGTACACTGTGTATACACACTTTTTAAATAATTAAAATCAATTCAACAGAAATAAACTAGTTGAGCCCAATCAGGTTTGGTCCAAGCTATAGTTTAATCAACATTGAATAGTTAGCATGCTTTTCCTAATCAGTGTGGCTAATGATTTTCCCCTTAAGAATTAAGCTATCCAAACAATATTAGACACTACAGCAGCAGAAGAGCACAAGAGACGTTTAATACTTGACCTGTCTACTAAGAGTGAAACTAAGCAGGCTAATTAGAATAGTGATCTTGTGAGGTGGACACATTCATTAAAACCCAGATTATTTCATATGGAACGTCTAATGGCCATCAGATAATTTTTAGCGATTACCAATGAGCTGCCAAAAGACTATAATGTACCGGCCCCATGAACCATCCAATCTTTCAGCCATACCTTCTTAATATTAAATTCCATTCTTTTTCCTAATAGCTTTGCAGATAGTTGATGAGATCACAAATAGTATTGAAGAGTGTCAGTCCTACTTTCTGAAAAGGTTGAAAACGTGTCGGTTTTTGCAGTAGTTCACCCGGGAGTCAAAACTAACCTCAACAGCCTCATTTCCAGTAACAGACCAAGCTACTCACAGGTGAGTGCCCATTGGGAGCGCTACTCTACTATGAGTAGCTATCTGGGTGCTACATGTCACTGTAGCAAACTCATTGTGAAGGATTTCAGTTCTACAACCCACTTCAGTATAAGAATGGAAAATATTTTCCAAAGTTTTCCTTGAGACATATGTAACTTTCTAAGAAGTCCCAGAGAAAGAGCAAGTTTCATCTTTTGTCATCAAACAGATTCTTAGATGTTCCTGGTATTTTTGTTCTAAAGAGAATCAAGCTTTAAATGCATGTATATAGCTAAAAAGAGGGGATACGAAGTCAAGATTTTCGTCACAACCTCAGTATTGGACACATTCGTCTTCTAGGGGCATAGAATTTCTCTTTGTGAACACAGTTTGATATGAAAGAGATAGCACCGTGTCCAGTCAAAAGATTAATAGAAGAGATTACCCGAATGACAGAAGCTACAAAGAATGTGATCTGAGGGGACACAATTCCCACTGGTGGAGCTCTTGCACAAAATTTATACTTACTTTATGATCACATTCTCAAATTGTTTAGCACACCTCCACTGCCGGATGCAGGACAAACAGTAGATGTGATTGCAGTTAGAAAGGATTCCAAACCTCCTCTCTGAGGCAGATGGTTTCTCATACACCACTTCCATGCAGATACTGCATACTTTGTCCTGACTTGCCTGAAAGGCAAAGGCCTTCTCCATTTCATGTTCAAATGCTGCCATGCACATCTAGGTAATAAAAGACGACAGAAGCAAAGAGTTGCTCCGAGTGTCTGCCATATTTGCACAAGGTTTCTAGCTTGTAAAAAACAAATATCTATGTAAGTCATGTAGAAAGAAAACATAGTATTAGTGCATCTAACTCTGAGAATCTAGCTCATATCTTTTGTTTAATAAAGCATCCCAAAAAATCTGTTAAGAGCACTAAGGTTGCAAATTCCAGCCCACAAAAGTTAGAAAACACCAAAATTAAGATTCCCTGTGCAACTTAATGCATACTCCACAGGGTAAATTAAGATACAGTCTTTAATTACATGACCAACCCATTTATTCCAGAGCATCCCTGCCTTCTTCAGTGCACAGAATTATGGCTGCACCTTCAGTGAGCACTTTCAATATTTGTTTCATGCTTGTTCACTGTGTGGACCCAGAACTTATTTACTGCACACTATTTAAACCTAGCGATGTTCAAGTCGGATCCTGGAGCTATCCTCACTGCGGATCTGAACAACAGACGGATCTGAACAACAGACCTTATTGACTATACAATTAGCCAGATAACTGCAATTTAATATCCCTATTTAAACTCTGTTCTGAATACATGTTAATTTCTTCTGCATATTTTCTACGGTGATCATCACTAGGATAACTGAGTGCTTCACATATATTGATTTGTTTTCACAGTACTCCTGTGAAGTAAGACAGCATTACTATTCCCAGGCAGCTTTAACTCTGGCTTTTTGTAACTTTTCAGTGCTTGACTTTACAACCGTAACATTCTGTTAAGGATTCGGATGCAATTTCTGATTGGATTTAAGAAAAAAAAAAAACCACCCACCCACACACCAAAACTAGAATTACAGAAATACCAACATATGGCATCAGATTGACAGCCCTATAGGTCATCAGTAAGACTGGAACCATGAATGAACCTTTGAATCCACTGCACAGATCTCAGCCACTTGAGTAATACAATAAGTGATAGATGCAGTAAGGTTGCCATCCTTCAAGTGGGCCAGATTTAGAGGAGGATGAGGGACACTTTGCCAGTGGTTTTAACAGGTATTTGCTGATGGAAGAATATTGACACCAAAAAGCTCAGGTTGCCTTGCAGATTCTGAAGAGGAATGTATTCTAGTGGTTACAAACCCTTCTCCCTGAAACATGTATTAACTTGGCACAGCAAAAATTCCTACTGCTAGCTGATGGAGATCATAATTATAAAACCGAAGGACCATTAAAAAAAAAAAAAAAGGCAAAACACAAACTACCCCCAGCTTTACTAACAAAATTACTGCATATGCAAAAGAACCAACTGAACCATCAACAGCTGACTTGCCTCTGATTTAGGGATGTTAAAATGTGTTTTTCTAGGTAAACATGTAACTGCTGAAATTTTCAGTAGTAACACATTTACACATGGAGGAAGGAGGGAAGTGGCTCCTGCCCCTCACCCAATCCCAGTGCTGCCTCTGATACAGAGGCAGCAGCGTGGGGGGGGGGGGATGCCATGCAGTTACAGGAAAAGCTGGCTTTTAAAGCCAGCTCCCCACATGCACCAGCTTCCACCTTTCTCCACCGCTCCTCCCCCCCATGTTGCTGCCTCTATCAGAGGCAGCAGCACAGTAGGGAGGCAGGGGAGAGCTTAAAAGCCAGCTCCCTGAAAACATCAAATCCCGCTTGCTTCTGCTTCCCTCTCCCAGCCTCCAACCCATGCTGTCCAAAATTATGTTCGAGTTCAATATACAGTATCTGAAGTGAACTGAACCTAAAATGCTATTCTCGAGCCATTTAGTCCCAATATGGATAGCAGTAGAATGCAGCAATTACAGCTAATGTCAGTAGCGACTAGAAGTTACCATCTGATTGCACAGCAGAAGACTATGATAAATGAGTTGGTATCTCAGATCAATGTAGTCTGAAAGAAGGCATACAAGTAGAATTTAGACAATCTAGTGATCTTTCAGACACACTGTAAAAGCCATCCATTTGTGAGGTTTTTGGAGAGAGCCAAGGGGATTCTTCCCACAATGATGGATGTATGGCTGAATTCCTGTAGGATGTTTATTTTAATGAGATTGGGATTTTGAAGTATTAGTTACATGTTCAGGTGCCTAGCGAGTGTAGCAGAGGCTGGACTACCCTGCCCTGGCAATAAATGATTATGTCTGTCTTGTCCAAAATGTGGATTTCTGGCCTGTTTCAAGTCTGGTGTGCCAAAGCACGCAGGCAAGGCTTGGGTTAATAGGGAAACAGAGTCAGGAACTGTGACAGTCAGCAATTGTTTAGCATAACAATGCAGATTAAGCATGGTATGAGAGACCACGTCAAAAAAAAAAAAAACACACGACAAGCAGCCTTGTACTGGTACTTGTTTCTGATAAACAAAAAGTACAGACGCAGCCATGAAACTGTCAACTGCGCACATAGCAGTAACATCAGGAGTAGGAGGATGTACCCCAAATAGGGGCAATGGGCATTTTACATGTCCTACGCAATATGTAATCAATTGGTAAATATTATTAGAACGATCAAGTCTCGCTTTGCTATAAATTGGGCTTAGTAAGAACAATCAATGTTAGGGAATGGGCAGGATTGACCCAAACATCCCGCTCGACGTAACTAGAAGTAATTAGGCCCTTCACACCAGAGGCCCAGTGCATGGAATTCCAATTCGTGGGAAGAAACAGAATCACAACCTCCTACCTGGCACTGCAGGTAGCATATGGGTGAAGTATAAGTAAGGGTTTATTATTGTATATAGTAGATCTTTTAGTAATTGCTTTTGCATTGCTTTGCACTGCATTAATTGCTTTTGAATTTATTAAGATTTAAATTGTATAGTAATTGTTCTTAAGGAATGTAAGACTTAAACAACTATATTAACTGCTTAAAACGCACAATAAATAAGAAACTGGTTAAGTAGCCCTGGCGTGTTCTGGTTTACCTTGAATCTAAAATAAATTGAACCATACGACACAACTTCAATAAGTTTCTTATTGAAGTTAATTAAATCTAAATTAAGTATACACATAAATTCTCTATAAAGCACTATGTGATCCTGTGACATACAAGCATATTTATATTGTGTTTTAGACCTGAGTCTCATTTTGATTTTATTTATGTTCATCTTTACCTTCTCATGAGCCTTCCTCTGCTCTGGGTCAAAGGGATGAAGTACTCGCAATTCACAGATTTCACACACATCTCCATGGAGGTAAAGACAGCGGTCACCAAACTGGCATTCCCCAGCTGATGCATAGGGACATAGCAGTTGTCCATCAGTATAGGAAGTTCCAGCCACTGGATCTTCTTCGAGCCCGCTGCAAATAGCTTCTAAATATGAATGAGGCTTCATTTCCACATTATCAGTTTTGTCACTGCAACACACTGGATCACTCAGAGAACTTTGTCTCACCTGTTCTTCATTCAAACCACATAAATCTTAAAAGAAAAAGCATTGTGTGTAGCATGTCAGACCACAGAAGCATAAAAACAGCAGCAACCTATTGAATTTTTTCCTCATTAAGAGTTAAACCCTTACATCAGATTAACAGGTGAATATGGCACCTTTCAGTCTCAAATTATCCATCTTTACAGTCTTAAACCACCTGCTATAAAGCCCGAAGACACCAAGTACAGCAAACCAAGCATTTTGATCTTAAGTAGTATAGAAAACTAAGCTAACATTACATTCCGATTTGCAATTTTAAGTAACTATTAACAACACATGATCCTTTCATTGGCCAACTGAATTTTCTAATGGGGGAAATGGGTGGGCACAGGGAGTTTTAGCTAATACTGTAGCCTGCTTCTCCTGCCAATGAGCCTTTTTTGAAAGTTCAAGTTCCCTTAGTGCTAACAATTGTAAGGCACCTCTAGATAAGAGATCACCAATTACTTAGAAACTCCAACTTCTCACAGACATTCATTCCCACATCATCCCCTTTCTCAACTGAAACAAAGCTATGCCGCTCATATAGAAAAAATGGCTTATGGAGAAAGGCAAAGCAGAGATCATGGTCTATTTACTAGTTCTATTCTCTGACATTACTATCAAGCTTCCTTGAGCATCTTAACACAGACCATAGGTAGGAAGACTGAACAGGAAAGGAAATCTGGGTTTTGCAGGGCTGTGATGGGGAAGAAGATTCAGCACTACAACCTCACAGAGGACTGGAGATGCACAAAGGGAGAGATTGGGGGAGGAGGGAGTTGTATTGCATATGTGTGCAGTAAAAGGAGGAAAAGGGCATGTGGGAGCGCAGTTCCTCTGGGCTGAGACATCAGCAACTGAAGGGTTCCTTAATGCAGGTGCCTGAGGGACATAAGAAGGTCATCAGGGATGTGTGGGACAAAAGTAAGGTTGACTATTCACATTAGTAAAGTCACTAACTTGCATAAATATTTGTAGGATATGCTCTATGGATGTTACAAAAGCAAACACACCCATTATAGCCAGCACTGAAATCAAAGTGATGAAAAGCAAAGAATGGAAAACAGAACTATTGTTAAAAATCCATCAGAAACCAAAACCAGCAAAGAGATTGACACCGATTGCTCTTACTCACTTCGATCCCTAAGCACTAATGTTCTCTTTTTGCGTTTTCCAGGCTCATGTGTTTTGTTCTTGATTACAGCCACGTTGGGCTCTGGCAGAGGGTTGGGGCTCTGAAACGATGGTGAAGAAAGGCTGGGTGGCATAGTTCCCACTGCACCACCAGCCCCCGATGGTCTGGTGTGATCATATCTGGAGAGAAAACAACATAACATTAAGTGCTACAAAAGCTAAGTTTTAGTTCAATGCACAGTCACTATTACTCCAGAAAGCTAACAGATAATGTAGCAAACTCTTGATTTCCACTAACGAGCCTGTTTATTCAATGGATTAATTTATGTATCACGTGTTCAGCTATAACAAGAATGATTATACTCCTGCTTAGAGTATCTATAACACCTTTCCAGAACCTCAAACCATTTTATACATATTAAGCCTTATGAGAGGAGATCCCCATTTTACATTAAAATTAAGACCTACATTTTAAACAGCCAGCAGGGTGTTAGTTACTTGGCACCTTTGAAATATCAAGTCATACTAAGGATGTCAATGTGTAGACGACTACATGATTAACCAATAAGCCTAGGCTTATCAGTTAATTCTGTCAACTACACACATTCCCCCCTTGCTGCCTCTGTATCAGAAGGGGGGGGAAATAGGAGGAGGTAGGAGCCAGTGCCCACTCTCAACAAGCACTGAATTGACCTGACCCACCCCCACCTCCTGCGCTGCTGCCTCTAATAGAGAAGCAGCAGTGTGGAAGGTGAAGGGTAGGCTGGAGCCAATATGTGCAGAAAGCCAGGTTTTCCAGCCAGCACCCTGAACATACAGGCTCCGCAGACTCCCTTCCCCCCTTTGCTGCCTCCTATACAGGCAGGGGGGAGGCAGGAACTGTGCAAGGGGAAGGAGCCAACTTAAAAGTTGTTTACCTAGCACTGGCTCACATGGTTCTATCAGAGGCAGCAGCCTGGGATGGGAGGCAGAGTAGGGGAGGCTGCCACCGGAAAGCAGCCTCTGCCCATTGGGGGGCAGGGGGAGGGAGGAGGCTGAGGGAGGTGCATCTGATATGGTCTCCTACCCAAAAGCAGCCTGCAGCTTTTTAAAAGCCAACGCAAACTTCAAGGAGAAAGACATAGAAACATTATGGTCCATACAGGGCACAATGATATAAAAATAGGAAACTGCTCAGTATCCAACTTATCCATCAGGAGTTTAATGTTTGCCTTTCCTGTTACATCAGTGTGTTTATTTAAAAAAAAAAAAAAAAAAAAAAAGTAAGGTAATGGAAAGCCAATAAAACTAACTCTGTTGCTACTGTTCCTTTATTTGCTGGATGTTAAAACCGGTTACCTGGCATCACTTTTTCTAATTGCGGGGAACATACACTATGCTAGAAGAATGGCAATTTTTACCTGCAGCGAGTTCCATAAGCACACTGTCCTTTCTGGTAGTATCTGCAGACAGTAGAGGGTTTGCTTGTAGTTAAGTCATGTGAAAACAAACACCTGCCTCCTTCACGACACACCCCTTGCATATAATACCTGAAGAGAGAAATTGTTACAGCCACAGAAATCTGTTACATACGGTAAATTAAAGACATTTATTTTCCAGAGAAAAGTCTTGAAGAACATTTCTCTCTCAATCCTGCCCTTTGCTTTCCATTGCAAGAAAAATCTCAGATAAAGGATTACACATGGGGAAATGCTGAAGTTCTCTATACTCATAATCCAAGCTGGAAATATAGATTATACACTTTAAATCACATGATACAGCATTTTTGGTTGACACCTTCCTGAAAAAGTCCTCTTGGTGAACCACTAAATACTTTTACATAGGTATAGCTAAAATACAAACATTCTTGGTCACTAAGACAAGTATCTGCTTTTTGAGTAGCAGTAACAATGAACACTACATAATGCATATTTAAACAGAGCAAAAAAGATACATTATGTCATGTCATTTTCAACCCTAATATTGCTGGATAGAGAGTTAACTGACCCTATCGACAGGAGTCACAAGACACACGCTGGTTCCTCCAGCAAATTGCTTGTATTCCCTTTGCTTTTCTGCAAGTTGCTCAGAAGAGGAGCGGCAACGAGCACAACTCGCTGGGAACTGAGCCCTACACACCAAACCAAGCACCGCGCTGCTCATTCCCGAGCACGAGACAGATCGTGGCGTTAGGGGGAACCGCCCCTTCCCCTGTGCAGTTTGCGCCACCCCCCCCCCCCCCCCCCCGGCCGCGC